CACGGGCGATCTGCTTGGGGTGAGGGGGGGGGAACACGGGGAAACAGTACGTTTAGACCCAGGTCTGTCATCTCTGTTCATTCGTATCACGTGAATCTGCCTGTGGGGAGAAGTAGGGAAGGTTTTCTTGAAGTGCACCTACCCTTCTGGCGGGAAGGCTTGCTGAGACTGCTGGGCAGGTTTCTTCTGGAGGGTCCCATCTCTCTGGAGTAGCTGCAGTGGAGTTGAGGGCAGGTTCTCCGGTGAGGTAGGAATGTGCAGGAACTCCGCCCTCTGGGCACAGTCACACAAACCCAGCAAAACAGCCACAGCCAGCCCTAAAACCTCTATTGATCTTCACCTTCACCTCTTTCTAACCCAGTTCTCCAGCACTTTTTGACCCGTTTACCCAGGCACCTTCACCACGGGGCGGGGAGTGAGGGTATCCAAACCAAAAACATTTCAGTGCACAAAACTGCAGAGAAGCTTCCACAGGCACTAGTGCATGGATAGACACCTCTGCAAGGCTCTGTGTGTCTATATGTATATATACATATATTGCTGTTCCTTGAATTTGTAGTCGTGTAATATGTACGCACGTGTGCTTTCTCGGAGGGGTGTATGATTTGAGATCACACAATTAAGTGCATAGAGGTGATTATCTATAGGCAGACTTTCTGCTGGTTTCCCACCCTAAGGGAGAATACGAACAATTAAATATAGTCACTAATAAAACAAAGAGACTTGCTCAATGTTTTTTTCTTAAACAAAACTCTGATGTGGTTCAGTCAAAACGTAACCGGAGTTCAGTGGGAGTTTTGCTTGAGTGAATAGTGAATATGTGGTGATTGAGACCTCATATTCACACAAGTGGTGAGGGGGTGTGTACCTGAATCATAATTTCTGACATAAATCTTAATAATCATCGGTAGAAGTTATAAAGAGCAAAATGACATCCCAGTTAAATTATTTTTTCAAGTATCGGATTGAAAAAATTATCACTCCCTCAAACAGTACTTTTGTGCCATTTAAGACAAATTCTATTATTGTTCATCTTCTTTTAAACTCTTTCCTAAGAATACGTTCCACATAACGGATGCTGTTTTGCTGTAACAAAAGAAGAATATCTAACATACAGAAAAAAATGGTTGGCGAAACATCGCGTTGAGAATTCGAGTTACTGTTTATTGTGCCTCAAACATGTTTTTGAAGGTAGTCTTACAGTCGTAATTGGATGTTTCTTGATGAGCAGATTTCTTCTCCTACCATCTATGCGAGCAAAGTTAATCTCCTCAAACATCATCTAGGAATATAACAATAGCTCCTTAATTCCATAAAGACCGCCCGTCCCCAATAAACACTCTAAATTAGGGAACGCTAAAGAAACGACTCCAAGACTCCGCATCATTCTAGAAAAGTGCATATTAAAAAAAAAAAACCACCAACCTAAAAGCTTAGCTTGCGGACATGACATATAAACCACAGCGGAAACAAGCATAAGATAACAAAAATACTGTATGCTAAAAAAAAAAAACCAAAACAACAACAAAAAACCCCACCCCATCACCTCATATTCAGTATCGAACAAGCCTGTGCAAAGATTAGCCTAGGAGACATGCCCAGCGAACAAAAGCGTTTCTCTGGCTGGGGAGCAGGCAAAGGTGAAGACATATTTGGGGCCTTAGCAGTCCTGCTACAATCCATCACAATTTTAGCGGCGTATTGGGTTAGTTTTTGTTTTGGTTTTATTTTTTTCCTTTACAAAAAGTCTTATTGCTGGTAATACGTGTCTGGAAACGTGAATATATTACCAGCTCAGCAACCACCCCGAAGCCCAGTGAAAGAGAGAGGGGAAAGTCTGTGGCACTGAACTGCTTAGGGAGCACTTTGCTACACCGAACCTAAAGGAGAGCGCTGGGAGCGAGTGCTTGCTTAAACTAAGTCTGGAGAGACATACGTCAAGGCTACCCTTTTCAGGAATTATTATGCATCACACTTATCTAATTAATGGTTATTAGCCAACTTTAAACCCTGACATGGCGAGATTGTGCTTTCCTGCAACCTGACCTGTCTTTTTCCTCCTTTCAGTACACCAACAGCAGATTTTTTTTCATTGAGAACTAAATAATACTTTAAGTATGTGCTATTGGATTTCCTACAGCATACAACCAATTGCAAGTGGTAAATAATAAATCATTTCCTTTGTCAGCTGCAGCAGATGCCTTTATTTTAATTTACTTAGGCACAAGTACACAGAATGGGGTCTTCAGGCTTCAAGAGTTTATATCACACCTATTGCATTTTATTATTTCCGATAGGTTTGTTGCAAAAGGGGGGTTGGTTTTAGGGATTTTTTTGCTTTCGATTGTTTTAATGACAATAGAGTGAAGAATATGGGGGAGGGTAGGAACTTCCAAGTGGTGGTATCATATCTTCATTCCCAAACAAAGCAACCGTTTTCTCATAGTGATGATTAATTTTGAATTGCAGGAGTGAGAGTGAAAGCCAAGAATATCAGAGATTTCTCTCCTTCTCTCCCACATAGTGCAGAGCCGGGTGCCCCATCTCTCCTCCATAACTTTTCACTCTTCTCTCTTTCCTGCAGATCCGCTTCCATCTGTTTATATATTACTTATTTTAGGGAGATTTTTCCCTTCCTCCCCATATTCTTTTAGCATGACAAATATTCACTTTACAAGAGCTGAGATTTCCTATACTTCTTTATTCGCCCCACGGCATTTTATACCTCTTTTTCTTCCTCTTTTCTGTCTTTCTAAGATCAGCTCTTTAAAGTGTTTGTGATAACATCTCCGACCCAGAGATTATTTTTCATTGGGCCTATTGTGAGCAGTCGCCGGCTTATTGCACTGCTGCAGAGCCCAGTTTAGGCTACAAACGTAACAAATGAACAACTTGTCCTCTGCAGACTCACTGCGGGATCCAATTAGTTCCTAAACCTTTTGCACAAGTTTTCTAATTATTTTCAAGAGTTGTGGCTTTTATAGGCTTCCCTAAACTCATCAAGAAACCAATTCTTTTTAGGATTAAATGCTTCTTAAAATTACTCACAGTGTTGCCCCCTTAAAACTAATGAATTGATTCTCTGGGCTCCGGAGCATTCTTACGGACGCCTGCGTAGGTTAGTGGGCTTCAGCAGGCACAGAGAGAAAAAGAGGTCGGTGTCAAAACTTTACGTTTAAGTGCATCCATACAGGTTTGGTTTGTTTCCTCCCCCCCCAAACGTTTGAACATCGGTATGCAAGGCAGAGTGTCACGTGACCCCCCTGCCCCCTGTCTCCCTGCCACGGACTGCGACTTCTCCTCCTCACCCTGCTCGGCTCCTGCCCCCTCTGCCCGGCCGGAGGGCAGAGGAGAGAGCTGCCTGCCGAAAAACTACCTCTACTTTCACAATACCTAAAGCCAAGGTGTTTGCAGCATTAAAAGTATATAAATACATATAGCCTAGATGCTTCCACAACAGTGCTCCTTTAAGATAAGGATTATATTTTATACACGTACGTATCATAGCTTGCTAAATTTGATCAAACGATCATATGATAGCTAATATGTGTATGTATATACACACACATACATATCTTTCGTTAATATATCTGGAGTCATCATAGAGACGAAATTAATTTCCTTCAGGAGAATAATTCTTTGAATGCATTTCAGAGATTGCAGGAAGAACACGTACCTAGGTAATAATGCACTTAGACTTTTCCCCGATGTGTACTTCTATACTTAAATTGTATAGGTATGTGTATACATATATATATATACGCAATTTCAAGCATCTTCTGCATAAGGCAGAGTTTTAGTAAGACAACCTACCTCATACTAACAATTTTTAAGCAGACTCGATAAGAGTACTGACCCAAAATATTCATCAGAATAGTGGCCATGGTGTTTAATTAAATGCCCTGATCCTTTACATTTGAAAATACTGCAGTTGAAGACAATATGGGGAGGGGAGAAGGGGACGCGAGAAAGGAGCATGTGAAAAATGGTGGACTGCTGTAATAGGCAGGTCTCTGATCTCCCTGTAACTTTAAAGCCTCTGCCACATTACGGTTAATAAAAGAGACAAAAAAACTATCAAGTATATATGAATTTAGCCTATTTTTTTATTTCTGTGTGTTCATAGTAAACATTTTTGTAAGTGACAAACACGGGCATATGACCACAGTATCACAATCAAGAAATTTTAAGACGACATTAACAATCACTCAAATTTATGCGGCTTTTGCGCAACACAGGTTACATATTTGCAAGGTTTACCTATAAGTACAATAGGTATTAACATTTCACTACATTTAGAAAAAAATAAAGGTGACCTGTTAGTGACCACATACATCAAAATATACACAACACAAACTGAAGGCAATCATTAATTTTGTCCCCTTCTGATTCATTTGAACGGGCAGTGCTGCAAACTGAAATAATGTTGCTGTTTTTTTAAATTACTCCGTACACTGAGTGCATTTTCTAAAACCCAATCTTTGGTCTAAAAGTAAACAAACAAAGGAAAAAAAAAAAAGGAACCCCAAAAAAGCAGTTCGATAAAGAAAAGAACAAAATAATAAATGGCCAAAAGTAGTTCTTGGGCATCTTTCACTATTAATTCTGGTTAAATACAAATTATGCTTTAAGTTTTTTAATAGTTTTCATAAATTTAGTGGTTTGGTTTTGGTTTGGTTTTTTTTTTCTTTCAAGGTCTGCACCCACCGACATATCCATGATAACTTATAATACTGCAAACATGGAGAATCTGGCGGCTTTTAGTGATAGACTTATCATATTTGAATAAAAAATTGCAAAAGCAGTCACTATTTAGATACACATTCTACTATAATTTTGTCTTCCAAACTTCATAGTCTACAATGCAATCTCCCCACATTGCACCTTGCTGACACTCCTCACCTTGGTGGAATAATAAACAACCCTAAAGACTGAACAAACGTACAGAAAATGGGGGACTTAATAAAAAATACCTGGACTTTTTTGTTTTGCTTTTTTTTTCCTTTTAATTATCATTTACAATGCAAATGTGTGTAAAATGTTCACTTACAGTCTGATCCCATGGATGTTAATGTATTAAAGGGTTTGAAGAAGACCCCTGATTTTGATGTGTGAAATAATCAGAAAGTCCTCCGGAAAGTCCCGTTGTAAAACTTGGCAAAGAAGGTCTTAAGGACTCACAGGGGAGAGTGGAGGGCGCTTGTGGCGACGTGGAGGAGGAGGCTGCCCTGGCCGTCATTGAAGTGCTGCTTTGAGAAGTCATTGAAGGGTGAGGAACATGGGGGAAAAAGTAACTCGTCTGTCCTGCTAGGAGATTTACAGAGCAAGGGTTTAGGGAATAGGTGCCGGAGCAGGGAACTGACAAGCCACACGGCACTGAGGCGGCCAGAGCTGCTGCTGTGAGGTGATGAGTGGCATAAGGTATCTCTCCATTGACTAGTCTATCAACACTTAACCCATTAGACGTGGAAAAGGAGTGGTTGTTTCCCAAGGAGTTTTGAGTCAACACTGAGCTGTAGGGCATGGGGTGGCTGGGGTAGGCGGACGTGGTCCCATTGTAACTCAAAGTGCTGCTGGCCCGGGGGTGGTGCAGGGAGAGGAAGGGGGACATAGGCCAGTACAAGGATCCTGCCCTATCCATGAATGTCAGTCCGGTGGAGGTGAGTCGGGCGCCTCGCTTGAAGGCCAGCTTGGCCCGAGAGGTGGTGGAGCGCCGGCGGAGCTTGCCGGTGGTGCCCCCGATGAAGACGTCGTCGCTGGAAGGGTCCAGCATCCAGTAGTTCCCTTTGCCCGGGTCGTCGTAGTGGCGGGGCACCTTGACGAAGCACTTGTTAAGGGAGAGATTGTGGCGAATGGAGTTCTGCCAGCCCTGCTTGTTCTCCCGGTAATAGGGGAAGTTCTTCATGATGAACTCGTAGATGCCGTTGAGCGTGAGGCGCTTCTCGGGGCTCTGCCGGATGGCCATCATGATGAGCGCGTTGTAGCTGAACGGCGGCTTCTCGTACTTGCCGTTCTTCTTCTCCCCCTCCTTCCCGCTCTCTCCGTCCTTGGCCCCCTCCG